TTTCTAACAGATTCTTTAGTAAACAAGCACTTGTGAAGGCATCTATGTATGCACAAAAATGATTAAGTAAAGGTACAGTGAATAGTGTATATACATTGTGTCAGAGAGTTAACAGAAAAGTGATAAAGAAGGTGAATATATTCTCAGATAGTTTAAATGAAATGCAGTGAAACTCTGACCATCTACATACCTTTCTTTGTAATGTATGAAATTAATATTACAGGAAAAATGAGATTTATTTGGAACATCAAATGACCAGTACTCATTTCGTTAGGAACAATGGTATATTTATAGTGCATTGAATATTTTCTTTATGGAAGATAGTGTATTGAATTTTAGAACAACAATAAACACTTTCGAAATGTACTTTTGCTGCTGTCCAGATGAAGAACAGTATGTATTTAAAGTTATTATTCAATGAAGCGACACATTTATTCACACTCTTCAAAGTATTGCTGCACTTTGTGAAGGACATGTTAAAAGAATGGTTAAACAATAGCCTAAACATTTACAAAAGAGTATCATAATAAAAGGTAAAGAAATATTAAGACAGCCCCACTAACCAGTGACTGTGATAAACCCATAATCTTTGCTTGATGATCCAGAGATGCCAAGTTCGATGAATGACTACTGGGAATTTGATTGCCCATAAGACTTTGTTTATTAAGATAATGAGGTCTTCTTGAATATTCAGTGTTCCACTGCATGTACACTTAGATTTCTCAGATTTATGTATTTTTGGAAAAGCAGGCACCAAAGTCTTATTATATTCCAGTAAGTAAGTGCAATCAGTTACTACTTATTGATCTGGTTTCATACAAACAAACACAATCTCTGGCTCAGGCTCACGTGTGAGTCTCAGTTCCCATATCTAGCAACTCACAATTTTTTCAAAAACAATATTTCCCATTAGGTCCATGCTGTATACATTATTCATTTTTTCTTATTTCTTATATTAAGTCAAAAAGTTGTAGAATCTTTCTATACTTTTTTTTTTTTTCAGAAGTATGTGCACAATTATGTTCTGTTATATATTATATTCTTTAGTATTTCCCTAGAATGAAGTATATATCTACACTTTCTTAAGATACTTGTATTGAAAGTGTTATTTAATGATAGAATAGAAGTCTTATAAAAGAGATTGTATTTGTCAAATAGCCTTTTTAAAAACAGAATTTCAGGCATTATGCGTGCTGAATATAGATGTGGTTATTATGAAATTCCATTAAACATACTATTTTTGGATTTTCAAGGAGCAGCTTTTTCTGTTTTTATAACCATTATATATTGCTATTTTTGTAATTACTGAGTTTTGAAGACAGTTAATATTTAGTTTTATATTAGTTGTATTAATTATTACAAGTGTAATTACTTTAAGTTATTTATTAGTATGAGTTATTAGCATTATCATAACAGTATGATTAGTATGTTATTTTTATTTTTCATCCTTATTTACGTTTTGAATATTAGTTTAGATTTTTTATTTAAGTTCATATATTCTCTTGATTGTTACCATTTTCACTTTTTCACTTCTTTATTTTGTTTTAATTTATCAGTTTTTTGTTGTTGATATTGACTTGACACGCTATTCATTGCTATTTTATTTTTTATATTCTTTATGAATGTAATTCTTTATTAGTTTTATTTTTGTAAATTTCCAACGTATGAACATAGTAATACTGTTGTTGATAAGAGCAATGCTAATGAAAACATCAGGGAGTCCAGTATCTTACATCCATTTAGTCTTAGAATTGAGATTATCATTTGTTTAGTTCTGTTTTGAAACAGACTACTTGTGTTTTATTTATGAATATGTTGGCCTTTAAAGGGAGGAACTAAATTTAGTTTGAAATAAAGGAACAGTAAAAAATAATCAACTTTGGATTTCTTGCCTTTTCCATAAAGAGACTGGTCATTCATATTATTTGAGTATTTTGTTATCATGTCAAAGTTTTTAAATTCTTCCGTATTAAAAAATACCAGTGTAACCAAAGCACTTTATCACAAGTACAAAAACATGTTTTAAACTGAAAATATTAAAATCACCATTGCATTTTTCTGTATTATATCTGTGTATCCATTTTACCTTGGCAGATAGCCATGATTAGTGTTCTGTGTTCAGTCAAAAGGTTCAATTACTTTTTTATGAATATTCTTCTCTTGAAAATGCAATTTGGCGAGCAAGTAGTAAATGATCTTGTAGATCAAGTAGATTATCTAAATCAATGGTTTCCAACCTCACGTAACAGTTGCCCCATCTCCTACTGAATTACACATTCCCTGCACTCCTCTTCCTTAAATGCTTTATATTAAAAGTGGTAATGTTGACACATGTTAATAAATATCACTGAAAATATAATGTACACTTAATGTCACTAGTGTGATATGTGTGCTTGTTTCTCTGCAGAGATTTTTTCAAACTATAATTCAGTTCTCAAATATTGTTTGCCACTTTTTCAAGCCTTCGTGCTAGCCCAAACAGCCCTTTGTGGTTCCCTCTCACCTTATAGGTTGGAAACCACTGCTCTTGGTAGTAAACACCTGTTTTTATCTTGTTTTTTTAATTGATATACACTGCCTTATTTGATAACTGGTAAAGCTAAATCATCTTTTTTTGTCTATACATGCAGAATACAAATCAAAAATTGTTCTAATTCAGAAATCCAGATATATGCATTTATTATTTCATACAACCTTTCTTTTCTTGTTCTTTTATATAATAGTAATGAAGAGAATGACAATCACCATTGTCCATAAGCCCAGTTTTCATATGAGGCAAAAAAGGAAAAGGAAAAGGAAAATATATGATAAAAAATGTCTTATTTTCATTTTTTCTGATTATGGGAATGTTAGAGATTCATCAAGTGTCAATAAAGAGTATTTGTAAGGAATTACTGCATTTCAGGGAAATAATGCAGGTGAATGAATTATGATATCTGGACAATGGAATTTGAATACAGTTTCATAGGTAAAGATAGCTTTATTCATTTTAGAAAACTTTAATATATTAGAAAATAAAGGTGTGTGTAATAGAGAAATTAATTTTTCAGTAGAATGATCTAATCTGTGATGCAAACAGTAGATTGTGATTTACTATATTATGCAGTGTTAAGTGTCCAAGTACCTAATTTATGTACTGAGACTACTGTCCATGATTAGATGTCCATTATATGCTTGTAGCTATATTAAATATATATCATGTTATCTTTTGTGTTATAGAAAAAAAGGATTTTTATTTTCTTTCTTCACTGAATGAAATTCAAAACCATATGGCTCTCTAATTTCCTCAAGTAAAATGCTTCCTAAGGCCATTTAATATTATAGTCACATTTTCTAGTAATAATTTTTTTGTTTTCTTTTTCATTCATGAATGTGGTTTAAAATGGCTGTGCACTGCTACAAGAGATTCCATGAACCTCAATAAAGCCTCTCTTTAAGCTTGGCAAGTTGTTTTGAACCTTTATACTGTTAGATTTCTTGGCTTAAACTTCATTGATTCCTTTTACCCACATTGTCCTAAGTTTGGTGTCTGATTCAGTCCTTGACCTGTTGCAGCATAACATTCATATGTAAGGCTTGGCTGAAACTTATCTGCAAATCTCACAGAATTGAAACATAAGAAATGGTTATCCAGGTATGATTGTGTGGAAGCTTGACAAGACATAAACATTCATATGTAAGGCTTGGCTGAAACTTATCTGCAAATCTCACAGAATTGAAATGAACTGACATAAATGAGCAATGGTTGAATTAGTGACAGCTACATGAACGAGAATATCTTCAAAGACAGGAAATGTAACTAACGATTTTTGCAATTTACCATCATCGCAAGGCCCCTGGAATTGTGATGAAAATATACTATCAAAATGCCCCAATTTATCCTTAAAGTATTCATTTTTTTTTTTTTTTTTTTTTTAGATTAAAAGAATATTATGATCATGAAAATAACGACACCCCCTAATTCCATGCCCGTTGTTATCGTGGGAGGCATAGGAGACGGACTGAGTTTCAGCTTTACCACCAAGAATCTGTTCATCACTTTATGTAGATGATCTAGCCATCTTTGCCTCTGGCCCTCCCATACAAGTTCTCCATGAATTTGTCCAGTTGTCAATAACATCAACCTCTTCCTGGTTTTCCAATCATGGCTTTCGTTTCTCTACATCTAAAACTTTCTCCATCCTATTCTCTCGTTCACGTAGAGGCTCTCAACCTCCACTCCATTATAATACCCATATCCAATCCCGATCTCCTGGCAAGTTCCATGGAGTTGTTTCTGACTCCAAGCTATCTTGGCAGGATCATATCCTTTCCATTAAAGGAAGCCCGCCATTGCCTCTGACTCCTACAAACCCTCTCCCTCCTATCCTGGGGATCAGACAGCAAAACACTCCTCCATCTCCACATTATCCTTATCCTCTCCACCCTTGACTATAGTTGTTACAAATATTCTTCTGCCTCTGCCTCTCTTCTCTCTCACCTTGATCCAATACACCATTGCAGTCTCCGCTTAGCCCCAGGAGCCTTCCGATCCTCTCCAGTTGAGAACCTATACACTAAATCAGGACTACCATTACTCTCTAGCCGTCGCACTCTTCTGTTCCTAAGAAGCCATGCTCACTTTCACCAATTTTCTGTCTCCTAGCTAATTATCCCTCAACCACTTCTTCGTCTTCTCTTCCTCTCCAAGTTTACCGGTCCCTATCCCTGTCTGTATGGACGCTCTTCTTTCCCATTCATCTTCCTCATCTCCGAATTCTTCCAATTTCTACCCAAACCTTCCTTCCCTGGAAAATACCTACCTCTTGTAATTGCTCGGCTATATTCCCTGACTTACCAAAGTCAAACATTCCACCTTCTGTCCTCACACATTTTTTTGCACATATTTCTTAGTCCCACCTCCAGTACTCATGTCTACACCAAAGGCTCTAAATCCACCTCAGGTGCTGGTTTTGTCTTTCCCTCTTACACATACAGCTTTCCTCTACCACTTGAATTGAGCATCCTTTCAACACAACTATATGCTATTCTCTTTGCGCTACAATGTATGATGTCTTCTATCTCTTCCTCATCCTTCACCGTCTTCAATGACTCACGTAACTCAATATCACTCATAAAACCCATCCACACTACCAACCCCATAGTCCATGAAATACAAAACCAGCTGTGCTACCCATCTACACGACAGAAAACCAAAAAATTTTTGCTGGATACCCAGCTATGTCAGGATTTCCTTTTCAACCATTGGCAATCTTTCTGGTCAGGTCTGAACACCAGCAAACTTTGAACCTTCGATCTCTTCTTGGTTAGCTCCATACAATAACACACGTTGGGAAACTGCCAAATAGGCGACACCCGAATCACTCACTCACACACGTCACACTCCTCTAACCTACCTCTACGCCCTACATGCAATGTCCTTTCTGTCCCACTTATCCTAATATCCTGCCCTCGCTTTGCCAAAGCCCATACCCTCACATATCCCTTCTTCGCCAACCCCCCAACCTGTAAGACATCCTCACAGAATGCCCCACCTTTTCTATTGATAACCTATTCTTCCTCAGACGCATAAATATCTTTTATTTGATCTAACCATCCATTGTCCTAAACCCATCCTCTTCTCACCAATACCTATCCTACCCCATCTACCCTCTCTTTCTACTCCTTTAAATACTATACTATCATACACTAAATGACCATCAAAATATAACATTTTAACTCTAAAAATAAAAAGAACCTCCCAAAACAATACAATACCATAGTGCTATATGACCTTTGATGTCTAGCACATTTATTTTCTTGTCATTATTACTTATTTACTTGAAAATGAAGACTGTGGAGGAGTTTTCTGAAGGTTGGTCTGAGGGGTGGAGGGAGAGAGAGAGTGTGTGCACCCATGGATGTGTATTTCATTCATGCTGAATACTCATACTCTTTTTATATCTGTTGGTCTGTCTATGTCTAAGTCTTTTATATTTACATATATGTTTTTTGTGCATGATGGCCTGAATGTCTGTTGCATTACTTACAAATTCTTTGACTTCAATTCTTTGGACTTAAAATTCTCAAGAATTTTCTGGATGAATATTTAAGATACTTTACTTTTTAATCAGTACAATACATAGAAATTACATAATATACATCTCTTAACAAATATGTAAATAAATAAACAAATAAATAAAAATACAAAACACATATTGAATTATTCCACTTTATTAATATTATTATGGACTTCCTAATATGAACATATTGAATTATTCCACTTTATTACACTATGTTCATATTAGGAAGTCCATAATAATATTAATAAAAAATCTCTTCAACAAAGTACATCACATACATATTGATCAACATAATCAAAATATCAACCTTTAAATACTGTACCGCAATATTAAAAATAAAATATTCCTGTACTTATAAAAAGGAGCTCCCTTTCAATCTATAATAAAAGAAGCTTATACATTAAACTACTTTATTACTAAAGTATCTCTATCAAGATATTCAAATATATTTACAATTTTGATGGCAGTTCTACCGGTTAAACTGACCCATCATGCCACTGCCAAACCCACCCTGCATGCCACCTGGCCCTCCCTGCATGCCTCCTGGCCCTCCTTGCATGCTGCCTGGTCCTCCTTGCATGCCTCCAGGGCCTCCCTGCATTCCTGCAGGTCCAACCTGCATTCCTCCTGGACCTCCCTGCATTCCTCCTGGCCCTCCCTGCATGGCTGACATCCCTTGTATGCCGCCTGGACCGCCTGCCATTGACTGCACTCCACCAGGCCCTCCTTGCATCCCATGTGCCCCAGGCTGCATCATTCCACCTGCCATGGAGGTCATTGGCTGCTGCATATGACCTGGTTGCATTCCTGTCATGGTCATGGCACTCTGCATTGGTTGCATGCCTTGTGGCCCAAGAGGACCCATGGTTGTCATTGTCTGTTGCATGTGGCCAGCTGTTGTGCCTTGTTTAGGCCCTGTGAAGTGACTTCCTGATGACAGGCTAGACACCATGCCAGGGGTACTGAGGCTAGAAACATTGGTTGTGACAGTGCCTGATGTTGAAATCATTCCCTGAGACATGGTGGGGGTCATGGACACTTGCACTCCAGGAGTAGCAGCAGAAGAACCAGGAGTTAGAGGGGATCCCATGTGGGGAGAGGTTAGATGAGGTGAAGCTAGGGATGGAGGAACAGTACCTCCTGATGATGTGGGTGTGCCCTGGCCTACTGATGTTGGTGGTGCAGCCACAGCATTGCCATCTGGACCTAATGTTAAATTACATAACAATTCCCGAACACATGGGAATAAGGATATTTCATTTGGTTGAACAGCTGCACGACTCATTATTTCATTGACGATCTGGAAAGTGACGTTGCCTTGGTCACGTCGCTCTGCTATTTGTGTCTTGTTACTGTTACTGTCATAGACCAAAGGCAGCATTAAGTTGGGTGGTTCAGTATCAGGCGGAAGCTGGAGGTTGGTTCTTGTGAGTTGAAG